AATATGCTAACCATGTTGGTAACCTGTTTTGGGTCTCACAGACAAATTAGAAATTGTTTTCCTCTAGAAGTCTGTTCCGATGCATAAGAATAGATGGTGGCAAGAAGTGTGATTGAGAAAAACATTCGATTTACTAACATTCGCCCTTCGGCAGAATCTTTGTCTCTGCGAGGCCGCCATTTCCCGAGTAGCATTTGAAGATCATTGTTCAGATTATTATTAGGTACGCTGAGCAAATTCGTAAACTTTTAAAATATTGCATATTTGTTCCACAAAATTTGTCCGACTTCTCCTACCCTTTCAAGAGGGCGTAATGGTTTCTGATTTTCAGAATTGTAAATTTACATTTCTCGAAGAAAGCGCCTTTCCCTCTGTATCTTTCCCAACTCATCGCATCCAAGTATCTGATCAGTTTCACAAGTCGTTCGCAATGACCGAACTTCTATCTGTGTTCCTTCCATAACTAAATATGTGCTATTAATAAATAAATGGATGCAATTGAGGGAAATCATAACCGAGGCCAATCAAGTATCTGATCAGTTTCACAAGTCGTTCGCAATGACCGAACTTCTATCTGTGTTCCTTCCATAACTAAATATGTGCTATTAATAAATAAATGGATGCAATTGAGGGAAATCATAACCGAGGCCAAGCGCACCTATGATCGATTTCGAGATTACTTTATCGAGCGATTGGAGGAATTTGGAATAACTTGAGATTTGTCTTCTTCTAGAGTGAAAAAATATGCTGCATTTTTCGCCATTGCTTCTCTTACGAATGATTGTTGATATCATCATCCCTTTCCAGGGAGAATGGAGACTAATGAAGATTCCTCAACCTCACAAGTGAGTTTAAGTTAATTAACATTACTCGACAGATCAACTTCATATCGGAGACAAGCTGATACACTGGTCTCAATGAGTAATTACATGCGAAGTAGTCCCAAACCAAGAATATGTGACTGTACTTAACTCCGCAAATCAGAATGGGAAAGTCCAATACATAAGGCTCGGGTAGTCTATAAGGTCGCCTTGGGCACCGTAACAGAGACGTTGGCCAGGGCTGTTACCTAAAAGCAATCGTTGTGCCGCGTCAAGAAAACAATAGGTTCTGTTGTGTGCTCAAGTAAAATAATTTTTCATTTCCTCTTCCAGCTCTTTCCCACGTGCCTGGACAAATGGAATTAAGTGGTAATTCTCGGACAAGCATTTTGTCGTAAAACGTATATGCCAAGGCGTTCAAAAAGTTCAGTGGTTCGACTACTTCTGAACGACATTCTAGATATACATAACGCTGCAGATAAATATATTCCATGAGAGAATAATTATATAAAAAAGGCACAGATTCGTCTTTTGAGCAATTATCTATATCATAATTATTTTTCCATACACTGGTAATTCTATCGAAGTGTATGCTATCGAGGGGAGAACAGTAAGTTTGTCACCGTCAAAGGGATTCTCATAGAGAATCATTCTGAGATCAGATTAGTTCAAGTTAAACGGATCTGGTGCATGTCATCCAATGGCTTAAACTGCGGCAACCTCTTCTTGGTTGGCTCTCGTTGCTGGTTGTCCGCTGCATAAGTCATCCGCCAGACTCCTCCTGTCCCGCTTGAATTAAACAGCCCGGCGCTGTACTGTTCTGGGCGAAGGCGCATCTGTGCCATATACGCTCGCCATCTCCGCATGCACCACCATTGTATTACTTCTCTTTGATTGTTAAACACTGCTTTTGCCTCGACTGCATCAATTTCAATAGAATGGCTTGCGGATCTGAAAAATCAATTAATATGGATAATTACTCAAAAGACGTGACTGTGCTAACTTTACCCCACATATGCAATCATTCACTCATGGAATATGTTTTATCTGCAACATTATAGATATTTCTAGAATTTTGCTCAGAAGTAGTCGAACGACATTTTTTTTCTCCATTTTTTAACGCCCCTCTTTATTTCCTCGGAAACTATTGATATTTCAGAAGCCCGATAATGAATGCCATCATCGCGCATTGAAACGGATCCAAAAATCCGACACATTGGAGGCAAAACGAAGAAAGGTGAACGTTGAGGAGGAAGGTGTCGCAAAGGACGCGGAGGAAAATGATGTGAAAGATGATCGTGCGAACAAGGATGATATGGTGGAGGAAGACAAGCCGGATGATGATAAGGAAGATGAGCAGGTAGGTGAAGAAGAAAGTGAGGAGGAAGAGGAGCAGGTAAATGAGGAAGAAAGTGAGGAGGAAGATGAGCAGGTAAATGAGGAAGAAAGTGAGGAGGAAGAGGAGCAGGTAAATGAGGAAGAAAGTGAGGAGGAAGAGGAGCAGGTAAATGAGGAAGAAAGTGAGGAGGAAGAGGAGCAGGTAGATGAAGAAGAAAGTGAGGAGGAAGATGAGCAAGTAGAAGAGGAAGAATGTATGATGGAACAGGAAGGTATTGACAAGGGACTGGGGGAGGAGCATAAGAAAAAGAAGCGCGATAATGTAAACAAATGGGAATCCCTGCATCACGAAGGCCCATTATTTGCTCCCACGTATGAAAAACTGCCGGAAAATATCAAGCTTATATATGATGAGGAACCAATGGATTTATCCCTTCCAGCAGAGGAGGTTGCTACCTTCTACGCAAAGATACTGGATGATGATTGCACTAAAGATGGCACATTTAACCAAAACTTCTTCACAGATTGGAAGAAAGTCATGACAAAGGAAGAGCAGAAAATCATCACGAACTTGAAAAAGTGCAGTTTCAAAGCGATCCATGAACACTTTTTGCAGATGAGCAGGGAGAAGAAGAATATGTCAAATGTAGAGAAGCAGAAATTGAAGAAACAGAAAGAGGATGAAATGGAGAAATATGGCTTCTGTCTCATAGATGATCAACGGGAACGTATAGGAAATTTCAAGATAGAACCACCAGGTCTGTTTCGTGGCCGAGGGGAACATCCTAAGCGAGGGAAACTTAAGGAACGCATCATGCCGGAAGACGTGATAATCAATTGCAGCCAGGACACCAAGATCCAACCACCACCCGATCACAAATGGAAGAAAGTCGTCCAAAACCAGAAGGTTACCTGGTTGGCCTGCTGGACTGATAAAATCACTGGGCGTCCCAAGTATGTCAATCTAAGTCCTTTAGCCAAGCTGAAGATGAATAAAGATAAACAGAAGTTTGACACTGCCCGAAGGCTCCACAAAAGCATCGAAAAAATTCGGGAAAAATACAGGAAGGATATGGAGAGCGAGGATGCGCAGGTCCAACAGATGGGGGTGGCGATATACCTCATCGACCAACTGGCTCTCCGAGTCGGAAATGAAAAAGATCCAGAGGAAATGGCCGATACAGTTGGCTGCTGCACCCTACGTTATGAACACATCATCCTGACAGAAGAGACAGACAATAATAAGTACAAGGTGAAGTTTAACTTTATTGGGAAGGCTTCAATTCCCTATCGAAATGAGGTCTATGTTGGCAAGAGAGTTTTTCAGAACTTGAAGAGCTTCATGAATAGGAAACAAGAAGGAGATAAATTATTCGATCGAATCAGCGTGGTCGGACTAAACGACTATTTAAAGAGCCTGATGGACGGACTGACTGCCAAGGTATTCCGAACGTATAGAGCGTCTCAAACGCTACAGGAAAAGTTGGACGAACTGACTGACGGTAATGCTCAGGTAAAAGAAAAATTCATTACCCACTTGGAAGCGACTCTGGCCGTGGCAAACCTTTGTAACCATCAGCGCTCCAACCCAAAAATCAATCCCAAGTCGATCAAGGCCCTTGAAAAGAAAGTCGAAGAAGTAAAGAGAGCTGTGCAGTTAGCTAAGAATAAACTGCAATGTGCCAAGAAAGCCTACGATGAGTCTAAGGACATGAAGAACAAGGTAGAGGTGGATAAGAAAAGGAAGGTCCTTCGGGGGCTGCAGGTGAAGCTCTCGATACTCAACGTTAAGACAACTCGAGCAAAGGAAGGAAAGGAAATTGCCACGGAAGTATCCAAATTGTACTACTTGGATCCAAGAATTACCGTTGCTTGGTGCAGGAAACACCGTGTCCCTTTAGCGGTGATATTCAACAAGACGCAAAGACAAAAATTCCGTTGGGCTATTTCTACGGCCGGACCTAATTTCCGCTTCGATGAACTCGACTAGTCATTTCACTCCAGTGCTTTTTTCAATTTCTATGGAGTAAATTTATTTATCCTCCGTAAGAAAAAGGTCCACCTGCTAGGTTGATTCGGAACCAGGTGGATGACTCGTTAGGGGTATTCCCACCTGTTGGAATGATGTCCACCTGTTTAAAAATTCACCTAGAGGAAAGCATCTACTTACTTCGAAATACAAGTGCGTAAAAGACAAGATAGATATTCACCAGGTGGAACATCCACCTGGTTCCAAATCCACCTCCTATCCAGCTGGTCGTTCGTTGGATTCAGATGGACGTTTGTAAGAGCTATCATGTCTCTTCCCTATGCTGTTGACGACTCTAGCGACCCCTCATTCTAATGCAGTATGCACATGTAGCGTTTTATTTATATTTTCCTTGTGTCCTCCAATACGTTATATGCCACCTCTTTTGATCTCTTATTTAATTGCACGCGCATGAAATCCAAATGGTTGACTTCCGATTGCAAATGCCCATTCCGTAGATGATATCTGATGCAAGAGACCCATTTCACTAATCAATACATTTTAATATTCGGGCTACCTAAAGGAGATTAGCGTTACACACATCTGCGAACCTTCAAAGTTTTCATTGTGCATGAAATAAAGCGAATTAATGCAGGTGTACTATATACATAATAATAGACCCAGTTTTCCAGCTTTTTTAGATGAAGGACTATCGTAATTTATAGTAGGATACGATGCTTACCCAAGCCACAGTGCCTCGTTACTGAGAGCTGGAAGAATACATCAAGACAACAATGTTTGCGATTCCTTAGAGCATGTTAGTATGGCTCCATTCATGTCCCCATAGCATTGCACGAAATTCAGTGGCAATGACGGTCATGTGGACGCTGTTCGATTTGAGAAGGCCTTTCCTCCGGTTGATGACAGGAAATGTTCCTCAATACTCGGGGAACTATTTTCCGTTCCGAACAGTCACCATCACGCATTCAAATACTTTTGAGCAAGTTGAATTATATTGTGCCCTTCGTGTCCCGTTATAATTTTTGCTATTTATCATATTTGATGATGGTCATGCTGAAAATAAATATTTAATGATGATTATCTCATTCTGCAGTTTTCCATGACACCATTTAAGAAGTTAATTTTTACACGCTGAAAGACTTCTGA